GTTCTTTCCTTTGTCTCTTTCATTGCAAGAAAACAAGGGCTTAAAGCCCCTTTGGTACGCTAGAACTCATTTTCCAACTGCTGCAGACTCTTCAAAGCATACGAGATGGGTTTAAATCAAAATTGTTGGGAACCAATGGCACGCGGGAAAATGCCAAGACCGTATTTTTCTTGAAATTTGAATAAAACACCGAGCACTTGATCGACAAAATCACATGGAGTTGCTTCAACACCCAATACAGTGATAGATCAGCTTTTTATGTGTAATCTTTTTATTAAGTTTGAATAAATTTTTCTTTTTATAAAAGAAAAGGTTGCGGGATTGGATTTCACTTTGTCTGCATATGTGAGATGGGCTTCAGTCCCAAACGCATGTCTGGGCTTCTAATGACACCTTGACCCTCCTAGTCCTAGAACTTGGGCAATTGGGCCTCCCATGTCTGGTAGATCATGGGCTCTGAATTGGAAAACTTGTGTGGACTCTTGATCCCTTTCAGAGTCAATATCTTTTTAAGATCCAACCGAATAATCCTTTTGTTTTTGGATGAAAATGAACATAATATTAATAATCAATAACTAAATAGATGCAAAGATCCGAGTCCACAATACAGTAAAACTAAAACACGATAAGAGCAAACCGAAGCTTACTGTTGCCCATAATTTAAAAGGTAGAAAAGTTAAGTGCAATTGATTGGAACTTTATTCAATCATGCTTATCATCTACTTAAGGTGCGGATTATAATAATCTTTTTAGGGAAAATGACAGATAAAGAAATATGAAATTATAATATCCCAATTTAGGAAACTAAGGATTGAAAATGACAAAAAGAAAAGTTATTTCCAAACTGAAATTTAGAAATTTAGAAAAAATGACACAACACCCCTTTTTTAGTGATAAAAAAAAAAGGTTCAACCCCTTACCAATGGTAGGCTATCACCGGTGACTGGACGCCAGCACAGAGTTTTTTCTTTCTTGTTACAAAATTTTTTTTTACCATGTGAGAAATTATTTAAGAAAAGTGGTAGGTTAGGATTTGATCTCACTACTTCTTGATCATCTGCACCAATAAAAAGGAGGGTAATCATCGGGCCATTAATAATTTGTTAACTTATAATGCAGAACATATATATAAGTTGACTCTTTTACTATGACTCAAGCCTGTGATAATAATTTATCTAGAAATGATAAGTCTGATTAAGAAATAACAAATCTAAATTTGATATTAACAAAGTATTTTTTTCCTAATATATAATAAGAAATAACATGTACATTAATTAAAAATGATAACAATTTATCTAAAAATAATAAGTTTAAACTTGATATTAATAATGTGTTTTTTTCCTGATACGTAGCATGAAGACATATCCTGTGATTTTTCCCAAGGCGAATGCAACTTGCGGTGAAATGAAATCGCCATCACATTTATCACCAGTCTCGAACTCAATCTGCTTGTGCACTGACTCTGGAACTGCGCGCGTACACATTTTCCACAAACGTCATAAAATTGGTTTGTCCCAATAATATGATTAACAAATAAAGTCACTCAAAAGAGAGTTTTCTCAAATCAAACTCTCTCTCTCTCTCTCTCTATATATATATATATATATATATATATTCAACTTCAGGAAGCCACGGTTTTCATATGTAAGTTATAAATAGTACTCGTCTAGTCCTATTTATAATATAGAAAGTGAAGTTTTTCACATGAATGTGTAATTTTATCATTCATTAAATATTGTGCCAATTTTGTTCTTATGAGATATAATATATATTAAATAAGGATAAAGTTAAAAAGTTGTTAAATTTTAAATGATCTTTAAAAGTTAATAGAGTTTAAGGTTTTTCTTGATCTATATAAAACATGTTAAAAATGACTTATAAGTAGAATAAAAAAAGTACAACTTATATTTGATTTTGTGTTAAAACATGGACTCAAAATAAAGGAAGGCATTTTTTGGGAGTAATACTTTCATAATTTTGGTCAAAAAAAACGTGCATAATTTATTTTGCCATTAAATATGATAGATAATACTCCTCCAATCCTTAATAGAAGACCTATTTAACTAATTTGATTAGATTAAGAAAGTTAGGTAAGTTAGTTAATTACAAGAAATATGGCATGTTTTTTCTGAAACAACATAATCATTTTTCTTAATATCCTCTCTCCCTCTTCTACTTGATTATGGTTGAGGGAGTATCCATAAAAGTGATTTAGAAAAAATTGATAAATATGAGAAATAAGTTTTACATTTAGGATCAAAATCAATTCAACAATTAGAACTAGAGGAGTATAATTTAATTTTGGAAAAATAACAAATAAAGACCCATAAATTACCAAAATTACACCAAGGTCACCTAAATAAGCCAAATTACCATGAGAGACCTAGGCCCATATTATAAATATAAAATCTTAGTGAAATGTCTGAAATACTCCTAAGTCAAATAACAAGTTGACTATAGAAAATAACAAGTTCATTTTAGCGAATAACAACTTTAGTAGAATAAATTACGACTTAGCTAAGGATATACCAAATGATAAGTTGGTTATAGGAAATAACAAATTCACTTTAACGAATAACAATTTCAGTAGACCAAATCACAATTTGACTGAGAGGCATTTCAAACATTTCACCAAAATTTTATATTTGCAATATGGGACTGGGTTTTTTATGGTAATTTGCCTTATTTAGGTGACCTCTGTGAAATTTTGGTAATTCCAGAGGTCTTTATTTGTGATGTTTCCTTTAATTTTCCGTAAGTGTGTATGATATAAGGCGCATGTACACACATACATATTAGCTTATTCAGCTTATGAACAGAGAGTTACAATACACATTATTTTCACAATACAATCCCTGATTGAGGAATAAAACATATCAAATAAATATATACACACGCATATATTAGAAAATAAGGCTTGGCTATACTTTATTCTCTCCATAATTTATTTATGTATAGACTCAAATCTTGTTATTTTCACTTTATTAACTTTTAAATTGTGACAACTTTTGCTCGTTTACAATACATCCAGCCATAGTCATTTTTTAATCTGCAAAAATTAAAACTCATGTGGTAAAATTAATCATGTTGAAGTGCAAAATAAAATTAGGAAAAAATATATCGTCATGAATATATATTATCAATTTACTTATAACTATTATATTGTTTATAAATAAACAATAATATTCCGAATTCCATATAATTGTACGCATGAATATATGATATGGTTCCGGATCTTACGCTTATGAATATCCTTAGAAGATAGCAAACCTGCAAGAAAAAATTCACAGAGGTCAAGGGTAACACTTAGAGCGGGACATGTGCGAAAATCTCCTTCGGAAAGAAAAAAGAAAAAAAATTATTATGCAATTTTATATAAATAATTAATCATTGAAAAATCCTCCAACAAATTACTAGCATAAACAAAATCTGGTACAGAAAATAACAATAGGTCTTTGCATAAGTGTATGACAACAACATATGGGAAATAAAAAATAATAATAATGAGTTCAAGACATTACCAGTAAGAATGCCAACGAGAAAGTCTGCACAGGAACTTTTACAAAAGTAAAATATACGAACGACAACTATACGAAGGAAAGTAATGATTATTTTTAAAAGTCCCTCAAGAGTTATGCTCCTCCTGTCTTGAATATAAGACCCTTATATATTTAAAACTGGAGGAGTATAACTTATATTTCAAAGGTACAAAATTGACACTCTGTTTTTTTTTTGTTTTTTGGTACAAACCAGGCGGCATCCCACCACCAGCAGGTAGAGGCTAATTCAACGACGTCATATTTAAAGGACTCAGCAATTTACCGACTGTGCCGGTCTTTGTTGGTGATGCTCTTTTATTTTAAATATAAGAAATATTTAGGGTTTAATATAAGAGTAATTTAATTAATTTGAATAGATTAACAAAGTTAGTTATTTGTAATAAATATAAGTTAATTTTCTTAAAATATTCTTTTAATCATGATTATCCTTGGATAAAAACTCTCTTGATATGTATAATCAATAAAAATACTTTAGATAATGAATTATAAATTTGAGAGATAAAGTCAATTAAGTCTTATATTTACAACCAGATTCAATTTCTAACTAGCTCTTATATTAAAAATCGAAGATGGTAGTTAGGAAGTTGGTTTTAATCTTAAGTAATTTATTTAATTTTCTTAATCTATCTAAATTAATTTAATAACTCTTACATTAAAAACCACAAGAGTGTCTGATCACTTCTTAATGTTCTTGTCATTTAATACTCTTTTGATTCTTGATATATGATTTAATTGTTGAGTTGATCTTAATCCTAAATGTAAGACTTATTTCTCATATTTATCAGTTTCTCTTAAATTATTCCTATTGATATTCTCTCAATCATAATCAAGTAGGTGAGGAAAGAATGATATTAAGGAAGCTAATCATGATGTTTTAGGAGAAACATGTCATATTTCTTATAATTAACTACGTTGCCTAACTTTTTTAATCTAATTAAATTAGTTCAATAGGTTTTATATTAAGAAGAAAAAGAATAGTAAGAATTAAAAATTGAATGAAAGAATATTACCTTTTACATGAGTGCTCAAATATGCCGCCTTTCCTGCCGCATTCAACAGTAAAGCATAATATTAATTTCTTTAGATGATATATTTAAAAATTAATCTTACGAAATAAGAGGCAAATTGAATAATTTTCTTGGGAAAAATTATTATATGGAATCAATGCTACTGAATACTGATTTATGATGGAAATTTTTGGGATCATATTTTTTCTTTGTTTTTATTTATTTATTTATTTTGAGTTCTCACAAACTAAACAGGCAATAAGGCAACGGCAAAAATGACTTGCCACAAAAGAGAGAGATGGATCCTCCTTCCAAACCGAAATAGGAGGTCCTAATTTGTGAGCAATAGCCCTTTTGCGTGCGATCGTGGAGGACGCAAGTCTCGCAAGTTCCGCAATGAATATCCAGACAAGCTAGCGGCCACCATGAAATCTCAACCATGGGAAAGTACTGTGGGAATATCAGCGTATGAGTAGCTTCTCCACTCCAGGAATGAACTCCAATCTGAAATAATGGTGGCCACTGATTTCACGCGACACTCAGGTTTCGACCTCCCAGCCTCTAAGTCTCCAACTACAGCATAAACATGACCTCCTCCATCTCCTTTGGATCCCCAATCCATGCAGGGAGTCGTATCCACGTAGTCCGCATCGTCCCTCACCGGATCACTACAATTCAGATAAATGACGTTGTCGATTGTAGCCCCTGAACCTGCGGATGCTTCTAGAAAGACAGCATAGGATTATTCCTATCATATTCGAAGGAACCATTATAGGTGTCGCTGTAATTAGATCGGGATAAGAAATAGCGAGGGAGGGAGGAGCAATCACCCTCCCGAATGCCAGGATCTTTGACTCGGATTGTGTAATTGTTGTAGTTGATTCCCAAAACCTGGTATGTTCCTGAGTGCAAATCAAGCAGAGTGATGTTGTTTTCACAGGCTAAGTTATACGCCGGACAGCCGCAATTGGGCGGGTCGTCTCGGAGACGAAATGGATATGAAATGTTTGTGATAATGCCGCAATGAGACGGATTACAGGTTTTGCTCTCATCTTTAAAACTCGTTGTTTGGGATGTCACATACACAAGAGTGAAGTACACCAAGCCCCAGAACCTGATTAAGCCTATTATCCCTCTACCCATCCTTCACAGTGATAGCCAATTCACCCTCCTAATTCAATGGCTTCTCATCTCAAGTCAATGAAATCCATTCTTTTTTAAACTATATTGCAACCCATTAATCAATTATGAGCTTCTTGCCTACTATGTTTGACTACACGTGATAAAGTAGAAAAATTTTTATTTTCAATCACAGCTCCCAAAGGAAGAAATGGCAATGCTTTAGCCCCCTAAAAAATTATACGCTTTAGCTAAGACCCCTCAAGCTCACCGTTGCCTTTTCTTTCCTTTTTGAAAAGATAAAGAAATTCCAGAGCCACATGGTTGTTTTTTAATTCAAAATTGACCTGAAATTTTTGTCCTGTTCAGTAATGATGTTGCTAGGCAGCATCCCCCTTCCCCTGCTCTATTTCTTCTTCATGTGATGCCATGTTAGTTATACTTATATGTAGGAATTTGAATTTTAGGTTCGATTAAAAGAAAAGCTTCGGTCGCAATGGTTTGCTATCAGAGAGCTTTGTGGTTGGTGACAATGCAGGTATTGGCGCTGCTTATGAATTTGGGGAATGCTCAGAACCGGTGTGTCCCTGATGATGAAAGTGTTCCGTTCCGTCTAGTACAGGCCACACTTGATAGTAATCCCTGTTCTACTACAACTAACAATGTGGAGATGGTTGAGTTCCCGGGAGTACGAGCTCTTCAAGGAGTTAGACTCGCCGTCTTAGAAAAACGCTATAAGTCCCGCATCTTAAAATTATGTGATGTTGAAAGTTGTCTTCCTAAACTCTTTCTACGACTTCATCATTCATCCATTTATCCTTTCCAATTTGAAACAGTTAGGTCGGCATCATCCAACAAAAATTCCCATGTTACATTTTTCAATTGTTCCTCGATTGGGTCGGAATACTTGAAAAACGATGGTTACGCGTTCCAACCAAATTTGCATGTTTGTCCCATTTATGTTGTTGGCTCCACCAAAGGTATCCTTGAGAGGGACGTGACCTCTTGCACCAAGATGTTGCAGTTAGATTCTCCATTAGACCAAGATGATTTTCTGTTCAACAATTTTAACTTTAGATGGCCCTAGCCCAAATGTGATGTCGACAACAGCAAGACAATATTATTCAAATTGGTTTTACCAGCTTCAGGTAAAGATAGTTCACTTTGCTTCACCTTCATTTTTTCACCATTTGGTTTTAGAATGTTCCTTGGATTGAAATTAATGTTAGATTAATGTGCTCGGTGACTACACAGGTTCAATTGTGTTAGTTTTGTGCATTGTGTTCCTTCTACTAATATATCGCTACTTCAAAACGAAAGGAGGTGATCATGCAAGACTTGAAAAGTTTTTGAAGGATTACGAAGCTCTTTAGCCTACAAGATTTTCCTATGCTGATCTCAAAAGAATTACAAACAATTTCAAGGATAAAATAGGCGAAGGAGCTCACGGATCAGTCTTCAAAGGTAAGCTGTCCAATCAGATTATAGTAGTTGTGAAGGTACTTAATAACTCTGATGACGATGGGAAGGACTTCATTAATGAAGTAGGGACTATGGGTAAAATTCATCACATCAACGTTGTTCGTTTGCTCGGCTTTTGTGCTGATGGTTTTCACTGTGCTCTTATTTATGACTTTTTTCCAAATGGTTCCGTCCAAAGGTTCATATCTTCCCCAGACAACAAGGAAAATTTTCTTGGATGGTTGAAGTTGCAACAAATAGCTCTGGGCATAGCCAAATGGATTGAATATCTCCACCATGATTGTGATTATCGAATTCTTCATTTTGACGTCAATCCTGGTAATGTGTTATTAGATCATAACTTTACTCTCAAAATTTCTGATTTTGGTCTAGTAAAATTGTGTTCCAAAAATCAAAGCGATGTGTTAATAATAGCAGCTAGAGGAACTTTAGGTTATATTGCACCTGAGGTTTTCTCTAAAAACTTTGGAAATGTGTCATATAAATCAGATGTCTACACTTATGGGATGTTATTGCTAGAAATAGTTGGAGGAAGGAAAAATACCCACATAAGTGAAGAAGCTTTCCAAATTTTATATCCAAAATGGATCCATAATTTGATTGAAGGGAGAGACATAAATATTCACATTGAAGATGAAGATGAGAATAAAATTGCTAGGAAACTAGCAATTGTGGGACTTTGGTGCATCCAGTGGCATCCGATCAGTCATCCATCCATGAAAACAGTGATATAGATGTTAGAAGGAGAAGGTGGTGAATTAAAAGTGCACCCAATTCAATTTGACTCCATAAATTCAAAGGTAGTCAAAATTAGTGCACTACTATGCATTTTTTTTATTTGAATTCATATACGTTATACAGTTTATTTTATTAGAGTTTAAGTTAGTGCGCACATTATGGAACACCAGCCAAATTTTTATATTTGAAAGTGATAGTGTTTAGGTATAATTTTGACCTATATTAGTATTGATTTTTATATTGATTCTTTCATATATTGTTTTTAATTAGTGCATGCCTTATGTAAACGGTGCTACCAAACATCATATAAAATGATGCCATGTTGATAGCAATCTCAATTTAGCAAAACATGAAAATCCCATATTTCCACCTAATGACTCTTTGGACATTTTACTTATTTGGATTCCTTTTTGGTCTTTTTGATTTCACAAGGTATTTTCTGGTCATTTTCCCTTCATATAATTTATATTATTTTTATTTATTTAAGCAAACACTCAATTCCAACCCAATTTGAAACAACTTAATATAAAATATTTCTTGTAATTAAGATACTTTAAAACCTTAAAAATAAACATTTACAACTTGAAAATACAAAATATTTATTTAATGGTAATTATATTGCAATTTAAAATGTCTGATTAATTTTAAAGGTTTTAGTTATATATAAAAATTTTAAACATTATAAAATTATTTATATGTTTTTTAGTCCCAAAAAATAATCATAAAAAAGAGGAAAACAATTGATTTTTTTTAATTAAAGAAGGCTATTTTGGTCATTTAACTACATTTAGAAATTCCTAACAATACCTCATGACTTAATTAGGAATTTGTTAAAAGTATAAGCTTGAATTTAGATTTAAGTATTTCAATTAGATTTAATTAGAATTCTCCCTAGTTAAAAAGGGAAATTAGAAGAAAGTGTATGGCCTCATTTTGATTTTGATTTCGATTATTTTAACTGGATATAATTATGATTTTTTTCCTTTAATTTTAAAAACCGTGCTGTCTATCGATATATATAATCATTTAATTTTATGTGTGTATGTATCCTAATCACAACAAATATTTTTGCTCTTTGTTTCTTCAATTCGTTTTTAATTCATCAGATTCATTACTTGAACATTAATACTTTTAGTAAGGGGATGATTCTATAATGAAATTTCAATGTACTTTGTCCAAAAATTTTACTATTTGATATGGATAAAAAGATTATTTACAGATATTTATTGTTAATTTCGAATGCTTTATTTGACTGATTTAGTTCCAAAAAAATTTGTATTTGATGATTTTATTTGATTTGGATTCAAAACAATTTGAAACGTATCATATTTGACTTTGGAAAAATATTTCGAAGTTAAGAAGATAGGCTTAATTATGATCACAGATCATCGGCATTCAAGAAAGAAATTCTACCATATCATAATGCAATTTAATTTAGTAAATTAAAATTAAGTACAGGTCTACATTTACTTTGAATTTTTTTCCTTTTAATTTGTTTTGCCAAACCAATTTTTCTTTATAACTATATAGAGAAATTCTGGTATTTTAACAAAGGAGAATGACAATTCAGGTTCCAAGAAAGAAAAATAATTACAAAATAAATTTCAGAAGATGTCATTTTTTGTGCTGGAACTTGTTATTACAGGCCGCTAGCTTGTTATTGAGACTTTTGGTAATTATTTTCCTTCCTTGAGATCTCATTGTAATTCTCCCTTTTAATAATATTAAAAAATTTTGCTAAAGAGACTTTTGTATGCCTGAATTTAAATTTTTCTATTTCAGCTGAATTTAATTAGAATTTTCAGAATTTTATTTATTTATTTATTTAATTAAGTGATGTTAGAATTAAAAACACTGAAATATTCTCCATCAATATATTTCCCCCACCACACCCACCGTTATCTTCCCTCCTATTTCATTCATTTCCGAGGCTCCATGAAAAGCAAAATAATTTAACTTTGGGTCGAATAAAAATGCAAAAGAAAAAAGACAGTTTTTTTTTCCAATTTGAATTTGTGCTTGTTTGGGAGAGCCTCTGATGGGCTATAAGAAGCTTATTTTGAGGAGAAGTCTGATTCAAAAGTTTGATCTTGTTTGGCACAACTTGTGGGCTACCGTGCTTGAGGGCCAAAAACTGTGGAAATGCACGATTGAAAATAAATTGAGAGAAGAAGCTTATTTGAAGGAGCTTATAGACCGTTAGTGTCACATCTCAATTTTTAGGCTTAGAAACCCAGAAAGTAGCCTAAAGAAGGTAGGCCACTAAGCCCTTTTGAGTAGAAGTTCCAAATATGCAAAAGGAAGCTAGAACGGAAATAGAGACTAAACTACAAAGTGAAAAAGTTTTTTAGGGGTAAAAGTGTAAATAAAGTTAAGAGTTCCAGGAAAGTCTTAAGGGCTTAGAAAGGGAAAATAGGTTAAGTGTAGGCTTGGGGTTGAGGTGCAGGCCTGAGATTGAGGTACATGCCTCAAAGTGATGATTCATGAGGTTGAGCCCAAGTAGGGGCAAAACCATAATTTCAGAAATTCAGGGTTAATGGGGGTAATTATGAGAAGCATACAGAAAATTTCAGAAAAATCTCAAAAAATGGAAATGGTGTATAGAGACCTCTTGATAGAGATAAATAACGAAAATACTCATACAATAGCTTTAATGGAATTTTCAGCATAGTGACTCAATTTGAGGTAATTATCTAGATGCAATTATTTGAGCCATGAGGAGGCCTGAAAAATATACATAAAAATGGGGAATAAATAGTTAAGAGGCTAAAAAAATGGTCAGCAGAGTGGCTTTAATAAAATAT